TTTACGGGGCATTTTTCGTCTTTAACATTCCAACAACTATAGCCTGCTTCTCTGAGACATCGAAGAGAACACCGGTGAAAATCAAAAGCATTGAAGAAGTGAATATAATGAGAGGTTTTGAAAAACATTTCAGAATAAAGAGTACGTAGAGAGATAAAAAACTCGACGTTTCGGCGACGACATGTCACCATTATCAAATGCAAATTATTATGTGTTGGGTAACGTTATATGGAGAATATAGAGTGGGAAAATACATCAGAATAAATAAGGCGGGGATAAACAAAAGAATGACAAAAATTTTAAATAAAAAGTTTCGCTGGAATGAATGGAGTCATTTTGAGTGTTCAGAGCCGGACTCTTTTTCCTTATAAAAAGCATCTCATAAATAAGGCACTCAAACTTTCCACGGCATTTCTTTAAGGTGGTAAACTGCTCGTGAAGATTGTTAGATGTTTGGTTGTGTTTGTCCTTTAGGTGTTTACCGATGACGGAATATTTAAGCTCCTCAATGTGCAGGTGAAGATGACGGCTCGTGTAGCCTATATTATTCGCATCACACGAATCACACTGAAATTCATACAAAACGCATTGTGGTTTACAAGTAAGGGCTTTGTTTCCGTAACTTTCAAATCTTCAGAGATTTTCCTACTTGTGAAAACTGGTTGTAATACACGATCGATTTTCTTTCCAAGGTCGCTTAGTTGCCTGCGCACGGAGTCGGCAGATTTTCTGATCTTTGAAAGACAAGGTTACTAATACAGGGCTTTCGGCTGGCTTAATACGGCTTTGATTCTGGTCTTGGGAGGCGTAAAATCTCTTAAAAGTAGAATTAATAAGTTTTGCAGGATATTTCAGTTACAGAAACATTTTTCTTAGATCATGGCATTCTTTGGAGAAGAGGTCTGGTGAAGATGACAAGCGTTTAGCGCGATCAAGCATAGTTCTTATTAGCGATCGTTTATATCTGTTGTCCACATGGCTCTGATAGTGGAGTAAAAGCCCTTTGTTGGTCTTTTTTCTGTAGACAGAGGTGTTAGTGTGGTCGTCGGTCTTGGTGATTACCATGCCTACGAAGGGTAAGCTGTTATTGACAGCTGTTTCCATTATAAATTGGATCGCTGGGTGTGCATCATTCAGAACTGAAAGGAAGTCGGTAGCAGC